TGCCTTAAAGCATATCATATTGCTCTCTTTCGTAAATGTGTTTTTTTTAAAGTAAACTTTTTCTAAATAGTTAATTACTTTTAAATATAACTGTTTGTTTTGTGCAGTTTGTTCATAGTTGTAATTCAATAAGGGTGTGTTAATGGGATTGGCATACATCGGAAGAAAAGAAGTGAGTAAGACCTAGTTTTTGAACACTCAGCCTTGGCTATATTTTATTTTAAAAAATCCTCTTTTGGAAACTAATTTCGTTTGGCTTACTAAAACAAACAGAAGAATGAATTAGAGGTGAAATTACATGCGTTCAGGGCCAAAGCAAATGACCACATGTATTGTCAGATTTTGTGACAATAAAGAAATCTTTGCGACTTTAGTCATTGTGATTAGTGTTTTATTTATTTATTTATTTGTGAAATAGGCATAGGTTAAATAAGTATATTAATTGAGCTTATAGCAGCAGCCAATAGCCTAACATTGCATCGTAATTTTACCTACAGTGCTAATTTAAAACATCTATCCGCCAATAGTATCCGATCCAAACCAAATTCACCCACAGTAAGCTTGACATCGCAGCTTATCCAAACAAAACTGCTTAACAACCAAAATGCCAAAGGTGTAAGGGCTTTATAGGATTTTGAAAATGAAAGCAAACTTCATCCCGCAGCACTATTTAAAAGTCTAGAATGCTTGTGGTCATGAAACATGAAAATGAGCATTATAGCTGTAGAAAGTAACTGCTTTATTCAGGAGAATTTGAAAAAACAGACTCGACTCTTTTGAGTTGACTCCTCATCCCTACTCAGCACAGTTGCTAATACTGTTTGTTTGTTCATTTGTTTGTTTATCTCTATTTATTTATTGTGGATTATTTATTATTCATCATAAACATCGACATTATATTTTTATGATTGACATTAAATATATTAAATTGATTTAGGGTTGTTGTGCTACTAAATCAGAATATTTAACTATTTAAAGTAAAAAATAAAGTACACCTAAGCAAAATGTTCTTTATCGCTCAAAGAAACTGTTCAGCAAACCAAAGACTGTTTGTGCTTTTACGTTTAAAAGGGTTTATTTTTAGTTGTTTTATTTATTTGTGTGGCTCGAGCTGTTTACAAAAAAATCAAATGTAAACTCTTGAGTGAAGTGAGATTTTAAAAATAAATTGAACATCGGCCAACGTGTCATTAAATATGAATAGTGTTACTAGAAATGAATATCTTCAGCTCTTCCAACAGACTTCAATTGAAATGTGCTAAATATTGATGAAAGACAGCAAATCCATTATTCTTCTAATTAATTCATTTCCGTCAGAGATCATTTTGCATCATCAAACTAGCACATTTAATATGGTGCCTGTGAGATATCCATACATTTTTAATTATTTCTTTACATTTAGACATTTTGAAGAGAATGTGGCTTAAATGTTGCCCTTGGTTGTACAACACCAAGGGAACTGAGGAGAAAGAAATGAATTTCCTTTTTTCTTTCTCTGTATAAGCTCTGAATGTCTTCCTAACTTCCCCACACAAATTCCATCCACAAATCATAAACAAATATCACTTTCTTTCTGCTTATTTCTGTCGGTACAAACACACACACACACACACACACACACACACACACACACACACACACACACATACATGCACACATACACACAATTTCTCAATCTTATTGAACTAGCCCCCAGAGGATGTATTTATTTATTTTTTTCATCAAACTGAGAGCAGTAGCCTGTACTGCAAGAAGACTGTGATTTTGCACAGATCAATCAGTCAGTCAATCATGTCTTCTACTGTCCTGTCCTCTCCTGGTCTCTTGCACCCCATCCTGGAAGGGACACAGCACATTTGTTTGATCTCAACAGAGTGTTTTTCGGCTTATCAGTAAATGCAGCTGTGCATCCCAGACAGCGTACGAGAGACAGGACGGTCCTGTGATGTTTTCATCACTACAGCCACTAGATATAACCTGCTTCATCGCTGTCCCTCTATCATTCGCCCAAAACCATGAAAATAAACCATCACTTATTTAATTTCAATTATCTGAAGTGTTTATGTAAGCGTGGGGAGTTGCTAAGTAAAGTGGCGATATAAAGTAAATTGCTTTCCTGAAATTTCAAAACACTTTTAATTACTTTTTTCCAGCAAGTCACGCATGCAGGCATGCTCTTCTAATGTTCGTTTGAAAGATTTAGTTTAAAAAAAAAACTTGTTTCTGTTTGGCATTTCAAGTTTGTGTGTGACATTTATTGTTATCTTGTTGTGCAGTTTTTCACTTTTTTATGACTGCTGTAAGTGCAACTTAGTGTGAGCTACACTGTAAAAAAATCCGTACATTAACAGTTTTCTGTATTTTGTGATTAATGTTTTTTTTTATTTTTGTATTGTGTGCTTTTGTTTAGCATTATGAGACCTTGATCTTTCTTCTGACATCTTTTAACCTTAAAAAGTTGGGAAAAGAGACTTTTATGAGCATTTCTAATAGTTTAAAGTATTATAATGTCTGGGTTAGTGTTGTATTTTATGCTGCAAAAATCTTAGAATAAGCTGCCAAGTCTGTAATTTTACAGACTTATTTAATTATATATTATTTATTATATATTATATTATTTCAAACAACTAAAATGTCAGGTAACACTTTATTTTGATGGTCCATTTGAATGTTTGTAGACTGTCTGCTTTATATCTGTTGATACTGCTCCTTCAGCAGTAGACATTTAACTGACCATTAGAAACTTTGCAAGTACATGTCAATTAACACTAACCCTAACCCCACCCTAACAGTCTACTTATAATGTTATAAGAATTAGTTGCAAAGTAACTTAAATTCAACAAACGAACCATCAAAATAAAGTGTGACCAAAAAAAGTAGTTTACAGAGAATGGTCTGAAAAAGAGAAAATATCCAATGAGCGGCAGTTCTGTGGGCACAAATGCCTTGTTGATGCCAGAGGTCAGAGGAGAATTAACCACTCATTACAAAGAGGAATGCAGAAGAGCATCTCTGAATGCACAACATATCGAACCATGGGGCGGGTGGGCTTCATCAGTAGAAGACCACACTGGGTGCCACTTCTTTCAGCGAAAAACAGGAAATTGAGGCTACAATTTGCACAAGCTAACCAAAATTGGACAATAAAATATTGGAAAAATGTTGCCTGGTCTGATGAGTCTCAATTTCTGCTGCGGCATTCGGATGGTAAGGTCAGAATTTGGCACAACAACGTGAAAGCATGGATCAATCCTGCCTTGTATCAATGGTTTAGATTGGTGATGGTGGTGTAATGGTGTGAGGGATATTTTCTTGGCACACTTTGGGCTCATTAGTACCAATTGAGTACCAAATTTGCTTAAAGGGGCTTATAATTTTGTCCTTAAAATGGTGTTTAAAAAATTAATAACTGCTTTTAATGTAGCCGAAATGATATGAGCAATATCACACGAGTAGCAGTGCGATATGGCTGTATATCGGCACTGGTGGGAGGCGTGCCTTAGTTCCACCACCAGTGCCGATATACAGTCATATCGCACTGCTACGAGTGTGATATTGCGTTTATACAACAGTTTGACGGCATAATTGTGTATATAAAAACAAAATCAAACATGGAGAGTCTCAAAAACCCTTTTGTATGAGGAACTACTTTCTTCCGGATTCAAATCATAAGCTAACAGTTAAACAGTTGAGCAAGCATCTTTTAAACCTTAGATCTGTAGTGTCTACTTTTTGCTGGTGGTATGTGGGCGGAGTAATACACAAAGGGTAAAGAGGCTGTAGGAGTTCTGATATTGCAGAATATTGCACTGCTATCAGCCAATCAGATTTGAGAACCAGACAGAACTGTTGTGTATATATATATATATATATATATATATATATATATATATATATATATATATTTTTTTTTTTTTTTTTTTTTTTTTTTTTTTTCTGCTTCGACGAACTTGACTGTTGTAAAACTTCTTGTATCTTGGGAATCTACAGCAAGTGTGTAGCCTCCACTGAGCATGTATCAGTGTGTATTTGGCTGTAGTCTCGGCTGCATGGTGATGCTATTACAGTAAACAGCATCTGGCGGACACACTTCATAACCCCTTTAAACAGCAGATTACTGAGCTGTAATGAGCTTGTGTTTGTGTGCAACAGCCTACTGCACATTTGCACCTTGGGCTGTGGGTATAGCTAGCAGAGTGTGTGACACTATTTCAAGAGCAGTGTGTAACAAACAAGATCTAAAATGTAGCCGTTACACCATCTACAATGAACTATGGTCTGTGTGATTTCACAAAGTATAACATATATGTTAATCCTGGAACATTTTAATCAGCCAATCAGATTTAAGGGATCTGTTTACAGTTTATGTTAAGTTTAGGCTTACAGTTTCGGCTATGTGCTTCTACATTATTGTTATCCAACTTTTAAACCACTCTAAACTTAGGAGTAATTTATAGTTAGGATTAGAAGTATGAAGTTTGTATGGATTATATTTTTAATATGTAGATATATTGAGATATCGTAGTGCTAATTCATACAAGTTCATGCAAAATCATACCTACCAATAAACTATATTGCAGAAGGCAACCCAAAAAGCTGTCAAAAACAACACTAACTACCCAAGAAAAAAAATATATTTGTATGTATTTGATTTATGTAGAAATTTTATTTTATTTATTTTATTAATTTTATTAGTTTTATTTATTTTATTTTTATTTATTGAATATTATTTTATTTTGTTGAATTTTATTTTATTTTCATTTAATTTATTTATTATTTTTATTTATTTATTACAATTTTTTTGCTTTAAACCATTGCCTGTTTTGGTCTTTTTTGGACCTTAATCAGCTGGCTTTAGGTTTACAGCAGGCTTTAAACTATCATTTAACATTTTCTTTCCAATAAATCATGTTTTGATTGTGCATTTTGGGACTTAAAAGTACATTTGGAAAGCAAAAGAATTGGATTGCCTTATTTTATTTGTGTTTTCTTCCTCTTAGTTTCTAGGAGAGGTCCCGGAGAATGCTGTGGGTGTTGTGGTGGCCAATTTGACAGTCAGAGACAAGGATCAGCCTCATACACCCAACTGGAATGCTGTATATAGGATCACAGGAGGAGACCCGTTGGGCCATTTCACCATACGCACTGATGAAATCACCAATGATGGCAGGGTCATAGTGGTTAAGGTGAGTTTTACCAATTGCCTACAATGTAAGACATTATTTTTGATTCTCAGGCTGCAGATCTGTTGATTTTTACTCAAGCTCTACATACTTATTGAAGTTGCTCATGTGTGACATCTTCTCATTTCATCTCATCACTGAGTCTTCTGACAAAAATCATCCAATGAGCTATTTACACAACATTATGCATTCTGGTCATTCATTTGATTTCATGACAGTGGCATTTTGGGCACTCGAAAATGGCAGCATCTGCAATAAGGCAAAGAGGAATGACATGGTGTACTTTTGTATGTCTGTTATAGAAACTCTGGATGTCAGTCTTTTTGAGTCAACATAAATGTCAATCATTTCATTTAAGTCCTTCTTTATTCAGACACACACTTGAGTCAATGACAAAGTAAGTCTGAGAATATGAAAGGAAATAAAAATCTGTTTAGTTCAGTATTACACTCAAGCTGAATTTAGACAATGCCGAAAAATGTGTTTCTCTAGCACATATTTAATCACTCAATGTCAAGTGGTTGAACAGTTAAGTAAACTGTCATACGTTTTGAACACACTGAAGTGAATGCACATTATTCATTATTTTCATGTCTCCAAATATCAGGAAGTTTCCACACATATTATTACACTCCCTTTGACTTGGCTTTTAATATAAAAATGTGTCTAAAAAGTGATATTATGTACTACTGAGACTATTGGAGGATTTCTTTTCAAGTATTAATAATGTTGTAAATTATTATTATTAGTAGTAGTAGTGGTGGTATTTAGCTTTTTTTCTTTATCAAGGTTATTAAGCCCTTTTTTATTGCAGTTGCATATTATAGGTTCCAGTCATTTCCAGTATACATTTTATATTAATGTCCCGATTATGAACCCCAAAATAACACTTTTAGTGACTCACAACCCCCGCTGTTCACTGAGGTGGTTATAAACAGTGTTGAGGGTAACGCGTCATAAGCAAGCGGCACCTTGCAATAGAGCAGATTCCTTTACAGCAGAAAAAAAGATGTTTACAGCCTGATACAAAAAAGATTTTGGTTCATATAGCTAATATTACTAATTTTTTATAACTCATCCGTTTCGTTTATATTAAGTTATGTTAAGTCTGCATAATTAAGAGCGTGGCCACTTGAGTAACCGCTAGGTCTCGCTGGTCGCCATCACTTCACCTGAGCTGATTTTGGGTGATTAGCCACTGAATTTGGCATATACATTGCATTTTTGTTTTGCTTTATGTGGCTTTATACAGTCAGTTGCTGTTTGGATTTATTTCTTGCAATGATCAGATGATATGGCATGCTTTGTGCACTTAATTGTGCTCACAAATCATTCATGTTGTCTCCATTTCCTAGGTGAGTGATATTATATACTTATACCATCTCTATAGATGTATTTGTTTTATTTAGGATCATTTATCATTTATATTTTTCTTTAGAACTTGAATGCACTCCAGAATCTGAAATATTTATTAGCTGTAGGCTCTAGAACAGTCATTTGAAACGTTGTCATACAGTGTTATGCATATGGATTTCATAAATAGCCTTGCATTTACTAACACAGACTATATTTGAAGTATTTGTAAGTAATTTGAGTTTTTCTCCTGTAGAAAAACGTCATAAGAACAATATTCAGTGGCTCAATTTGTTACAACAGTGTTTTTAAAAGTCTAAATGCTTTATTGATAGTGTACAACCAATGTGGTCATAACACATACAAGTCGCAGGTAATGAAGTATTAAGCATTTCTCCCAAAGAAAAGTCTGTCTATGCAAAATGCTAGCAGGTGTCTGTAGCTCCGCTTATGCTCCGCCTCTTTGCCCTTGTTTTATATCCCCCGTTCAGTGTGATGGCATGCAAACAAAAAGGTGAGGGTTGGCTACGCCCACTTGTAGCTTCTTTTGTGTAGCTTCAACCTATGGGTGACGTCACGAATATTACACATATTTTACAACAGTCTATGGTTAAAAGTAAGTTATGTTATTAAAAAGTAAGTATGTTAGTACTGAAAACGCAAACCGTTTCATGTCAACTCTTGTCAATTTAATGAACTAGTACCACTTAGAAGATCCGGTTAAAACAACTTTTCATTCGCGAATCGCCCGTCATCACTACAAACAGTCAGAATGGCAGGACTTACATTTTTGCAATGGATTCTTGTTATTTTGATGTCATCGAAGAAAGGAAGTGGATTGTTGTTAAGTGTAGATTTTGTGTGTATGTGGCATCAATTCCCTTCTTGTCTTGATTCTTTCTTTGAATAAGTGGGATTTGAACGCGAGTAACATAAGACAGTCCAGTGGTGTCGTTTCGAAAATGTTTAGTAACAACTTAACTAAACTATATTACACGGTCAAAAAACTGTCTTGCTTCCATCCTCATGACACAACTTCTTCTTTCCCGGACGTGATATCAGCATATACTCTATATTCAAAATTGAATTACCTTTAGTAAAATATTTTCAAGTTTTGGCTTTCACATTATTATTAATTTACCATAAATTAAACAACTAACTTATGTCTCTAATAATGTGTAAATAAAACTCTTGACAACTGCAAGAAACACGACATTGAAAAATCAAAAATCAAAACTGGAAGCACTACACCCGCACCTCACCTCCAGCTAAACAACAAATAATTGACAACAGCTCGTGTTCTCCAGGTAAAACAATTAATTCGACTTAACTAAAAAATGATTATTGCTTTTATTGTTGAGGAGATGGAACCTCTGTCTACTGTAGAAGCGACCATGTTTTGTAACAATATATTAAGTTTTTTTTCTTTTTTGGGAAATTTTGATTTGGGGATGTTTTCATTGTCTTACTGTTTGTTATTAAACATTTTAAAGGTTTAAAATGTCTTTTTGACCTAATATAAATATTTCATGTTAGTAACTGTAGGCTTTATTGCAGTATTTATGTCAATGGACAGTGACAGAATGGTTTTACTTAATAAAACAAAACATTCAAAAGTAGCAAACACATTACATGCTGTCATTTCTCTGTATATACAGCATGTATAGCTCTGCGTTCAGAAAGTTCTCAAAATAACTAAAATAAATAATTTTATCCAAGATTTTTTTAAAGCAAAATGAAGGTGTAGGTTATATAGGCGGTTGTAAGTTCTAAAAGAGATCAAACAGCCAGGCAAGGAAAAGCAACGCAAAAGTAACACAGAAGTAATATAAACCATTACTTTCCATAAAAAGTAACTAAGTAATGCACTTACTGTAATTACTTTTTGGGGGGAGTAACTTAATATTTTAATGCACTACTTTCAAAAGCAATTTTCCCCAACACTGGTTATAGGCATACAAACACTGCATACAACCGTGCACACACACCAATAGGAACTATTTGAAGAAGCTTATTGAAAACACAAAAAACGTGCAACAGTCTAACAACCATATAATTGTTTATAGAAATTATTCTTTTTTTTTTATTATTTAATATTAACTTCACTTAATGAGAATGGAGGGCAGAATGTTTACAGCACACGAATGTTCGTTGGTTTAAAGTCGTGGCCCTTATTTTTAATGTACGTGAGTGCCGTAAATGTGTCAAAGTTTAACATTGTGTCGTAAAATCAATTTGCTACAACTAACACTATAATTGTGTCATTAGCGTAATAACCCCAGGGGTCATAATGAAAAAAGGTTTGAAGGCTGATGGCTTTTTATTTGCATGATGTTGTTTTATGTAGCTATTTAATACTTATTTTTATCTTCTGTAGGTTATGGATAAAATATGGTAATTATAATAGTGTAATATTGTATATGATATTTTTGGTAGTCCCCAATCCCCCAACATCCCCCTGGTCTTATTTTCCCGTTACCCCCACTTTGGTAACCACTGATTTAAGCCACAAAAAAAGTAATTATTTGAAAATGGTGACATCATATAAATATAAAGTAAAAAAATATAAGTACCTGACAACAATCAACAGACTATACGACCAAATTTGCACATGCATGTAAGTTTTCTATACAAAATGACATCACCAAACATTGGCCAGGCATGCTAAATATGGTGATTTTAGTCATTTCCCTGGATCCAGTGTCTTAATTATTCACTGAAGTTAATTATTTGTCAGGCTTACAATGAATATTTGACACTTTATTTTTGAATGTGTTGACCCATACTGGGTGTTAGACCAAGGGAAAAAACACAATTTGGGTGATAATGGAAGAAGCTGGAGATTGCACTGCAGGTGAATAGCTGACATTAAAAATAATTTACATTCACAGCTTTTATTTTTTTCCTCCCTGTTTTATAGCCTGAATTGCTCTAATGCTTTAGAGTCAGTGAAGTTTAATGGCCTATTAAACTTAAAGCAAATTCAAGAAACAAACAAAATCAGGCCAAACTTGTTTTTTTTTTATGTTTGTTTTGGGAATTTGAAATGGTTTGCAAGCTTCCTGTAAGGTTCTACTCTAGGTAAAAACCTCTGACTCTAGGAAGCAGCTTTAATGAAATACCTAAAAAAAGAATGAGCATATTCTGGGGCCTTAACTTCAAAACCTATGTGCATACAGTATTTCGTACAACTTTAATTAAATATCTTTTAAAAAAGAATGAGCATATACTGGGGCCTCAATTTCATACACAGGGGTCAGCATATACTGTATGAATAAACCCCATTTTGAAAAGGAATATTTGTATTCAGTTCTTATTAAATAAGGGTATAATATATATTGGTGCATTTGAACAAAACAGATTTATTAAACATATATTTATTGAAATAATGTTTTAGCCCCAGAACATCTTTAGTAATGGAAACATAATACATTTAACCTCCTAAGCTCTGCCCAGTATCCAGGGTCTGTGACGTTATTTACTACTGTTTTAAATTTTAAAGGTCCGTACTGGCCCCATACCCCCATATATGGCTCTGTTCTCTCATCAGTTGGAATAGAATAACTTTAGCATAAATTGTGATCAAGATATTTTTCGTTTTTTCTATGACTACTGACATGTGCAGGAACCAACAAAATTAAATACAGCAACCCAGACCACACAGAACCTAAAAGGTAAACTTTCAAATTTGAGTTTACAAAAAAAAAAAAGCCTCTATTTTGGAGGGGTTTATTATAACACGCACTACATATGCAATTATTTTAATCACTTGTTTTGAGAAAACTCAAAGGGTATATTAAAATATACGTATATACTATTCAAATATTGCAAGAAAAATTTTGAAACTACAACATTTTTACAAAATTGTATGTATACATATATATATATATATATATATATATATATATATATATATATATATATATATATATATATATATATATATTTTTTTTTTTTTTTTCTCTTGATTCTTGCTATTTTGCAAAATTGGATTTCATAGTTTTCCCTAAATTTGAATTTGGCCTATGAATTTTTTAATCATTAAGTTCTTTGTTTAAATTAGCTCCAGATTTGGGCTTCAGTACTAATATAATGTATATGCAAACATTTTATATTGTAAAGCATCCTAAAGAAAATATTCATTTCAATGAGACATTTGTGGGGGATGTACTCATATATGCTGAGCACTGTATGTGCATATTTTGTACACTCTTTTCTGTCATTTAAAATTGTGTGTTTGTGTGTGAGGGACTGATAGAATCTCAGGATACTCAGAAGCGCATTTTAGCCTCTCTAGAAAAGTTGCACAGCTTTTATTGTCACATGCTGTCCGGCACACCACATTTCTTCCCAGAGAACAGATGATCCTCTCACACTCATCTCCTTGTCAACTCCTTCTAACCTTTCCATTAGAGTTCACTCCATTTCCTAACTCAAGTTGAGTCACTTTTGGTTCATCTTCTAACACTTTTTGGAGCCTTTTTGGGCAGTTCAGCCTGACAGTGAGGAGGTTAAGGTCTTTTTGTTAAATTATTACGGTTTTGCTTTTTTTAACAATAGGCCTTTCTTTTTTTTACGAGAATTAAAATAAAAAAAAACTTTTATTTATCCTTTGTGATTATGTGTGCAGCCAGTTGACTATGAGCGGAATGGAGCCTTCATGCTCATGGTGGTGGTCTCAAACCAAGCTCACCTGGCCAGTGGGATCCCCTCCTCCCCATCTTCCTCTGCTGGTGTCACCATCACAGTTTTGGATGTCAATGAGGCTCCTGTCTTCCCATCCAACCCTAAAATCATCCGCTTTGAAGAGGGAGTACCTGCTGACACCACCCTCGCTACTTTCGCTGCTCTGGATCCAGACCGCTTTATCCAGCAAACTATCAGGTAGAGAGAAATGACAGGAACTACTTTTGTCTGTCCGGATGTCAATCTTTCGGAGTCACCATTAATGTCAATCATGTATTTTCTTACTGGCTCCAACTCATGCTTCAGTCAATGACAAAGTATGTCTGAGATATAAAAAAGAAAAAAAGAGTTTCAGCAAAAAAATAATAATAATGCCTCAGTGTCAAGTGGTTTAAAATTAAGTAACATTTAACTCACTTTAAACTCATTTCAGTAATATATTATTTTTTAAAAGCTTTGAAGTTTTCAAATACCAGGAATTTTAAAATCAAGAATATCATGAAGATTTCTTGGATGTTATTGTAATCCTTTTGACTTGTCTTTTCATAAAAGATGTAATTAGAAGAAATTACAGTAATTAATGTTTTTATTACAGTTAGATTTAAGCCCTTCAAAGATAAAATTCACTTTTTAAATGATGAAGAATGAAAATCTGAATATACTTCGGCATCACTGAATAATAAGAGTTCAGTTCATGAGAGTGACATACCTTGAGCATCAAACCATTGTTTCCTTGTTCTCCTGTAAATACTGTAAATGTTAAACCCTTGTCAGAAACCGGCCAATCGAAACAAAACACCAACTATGACTATCAAGACAAGATCATTAATATGCAGCCCCAGGCAGTGTTTGACTGACTACAACATTGAGATTACGATAATGATACAACAAAGATTTGTGTGTGTGTGTGTGTGTGTGTGTGTGTGTGTGTGTGTGTGTGTGTGTGTGTGTGTGTGTGTGTGTGTGTGTGTGTGTGTGTGTGTGTGTGCGCATGTGTGTGTGTGTGTGTGTGTGTGTGTGTGTGTGTGTGTGTGTGTGTGTGTGTGTGTGTGTGAGTGACAGCCTTCATTATACTCACTATGAACGACGCGGTGGTGCAGTAGGTAGTGCTGTCGCCCCACAGCAAGAAGGTCGTTGGTTCGAGCCTCGGCTAGGTCAGTTGCTGGATAAGTTAGCGGTTCATTCTGCTGTGGCGACCCCTGATTAAGAAAGGGACTAAGCCTAAAAGAAAATGAATGGATGAATGCACCTATTTTACCCCTTTAACATGATGTAAGATAAGCCTTTAGTGTCTTCAGAATTTGTCTGTGAAGTTTCAGCTCAAAATACCAATCAGAAAGTTTATTATAGCCTTCAGAATCTGCCCATTTCGTAGTTTGAAGACATTTTAGCATTACATCAGATAAACAGTACAGTGATAAAGACAGACTCAGATGAAGCTGAAATACAGCTCTTTAGTCAAAAATACTAAAGAAAGTTTATTTTATGTATATGTGGTGTAGTTTATTCAAGCCTTTCTGATATGATGAGTCACACACATGCCATTTGTAGTACACACATTTTAGCTTTGACTGACACCATGTGGCTGTGGTGATTATAGCAGTTAAGAATTCGATAGCGATTTTACTGTCTTTATTAAAAAGATGTTGTTTTTAAAAAGTTTTAAACTTATAAAACGTATAAAAATAACAGTTGTAACAAATATTTTATTCACAGTTTATTTGCAAAAAAAAAAAAAGTTGTGTGAACATGTTTATAAATGTTATCCTAGAAAAATGGCGCCTGTCAATAAGTTTGGTAGTAGATTGTGTCAAAGCAGCTTTAAATAGAAGATTATAGTGATTTGAAACAGTGTCAGTTCAGTTTTTTAGAGTTTAAGTTCATCAGAGTTTAAGTTTCAAAAAAGTTCTTATTGTAAAATTTCTCACAAACGTTGTGAGATCTGCTTCCTTCAAGTCTGTCACTCTGCTGTTTATCTAACGCAGCCGAGGCAGAGATTGCCAACGGTTGGGGAGAACAAGAATTAAAGGCACAGGCAACAAAAACAGCTACATCGTGTTCAGAGCAGAAAATTCCAATATTCTGAAAGCTATAATGAATAATCTGATGGGTGTTTTGAGTTGAAAACTTTACAGACACATTCTAGAGACACAAAAGACTTATCTTAAATCTTGAAAAAAAAAAAAAAAAAAAGATGGTCTTTAAAATCACAAAATACAACTCTAATTTCTGTTTTAGCACTGCTTTTTTCTGATCAAATTTTTAATTAGTTTAATAACAAAACATGTGGGCTCTTCCGCCTAACTGTGATACATTTTTGGGGAAATATAATCCTGCACCCGCCGGCCTGTCAACAACTACGGTTGATAGTGTGTGCGTCTTCATAGAGTTTTCTAACTGGTGAATGACATGATCAGGTGTTCTAGCTAATCAGTGCGCGTTCGCGAGTTCATGACTTAAAGAGGCGTGGCTTTGGACGGCAGGGGAGGGTCATAAAATTTCTAAGCTATTACGCTAATGCTAGCATTCTGGCAGATCACCTACTGCACCTTAGCATATCTCAACTTACATAAAACACAAACACATACATATATATTTGTCGTAACATTTAAAATATATTAATGCTCCATAAATATAACAGTTACTTAATTTTTTCTGGAGTTTTGGAGTCTTCTTAAATAACAGACTGGCTTAGCGATTTCTATTGATCATTTAAATAAAGCACTCATGAGCTGAGTGACACATGTGAATTGTAAACTGCAAACCAGCCTGTGCTGTCTGTCACATAAAGTCTAGCCTATTCCACCCACTCTGTTCCCTTTTCACTTTCTGCTGAATCATGCTTGAGTTCTCAAATTCCCATAAATTCATGAGGGCTTTATTTGACTAGTTGACTTTAAGAGCCATTTTTATGGAAAACAAGCCTAAAACAAATCCATCACTCTCAGCTGTAGGTCACCTCCTCCTTTTTTGCGCTAGCATCAGAAGTACATGCAATTTCCATACTGTGCTGTATGTCAAGTGATGTAGCACGTATCGTTCGCACCATTAGCACCCCTGGGAGCAGCTAAATGCTTTTAATTGACTCTCTCCTGTTCTAGTCCCTTGGTTGTGCCTGGGTTGCCAGGCAACAGGGTGAAAGGTCAGTGAGTAATGAGTCGAACCGTTCCCCACACTGCTGCTTCTATTGTGTCTCTCTCTCTCTTTCTCTCTCTATTCCTCTCTCTCTCTCTCTCTCTCTCTCTCTATCAGTCGTTCACGCTTGATCTCTCTTGATTTTTTTTTCCATGATTCAAAAGTGTGCGGGCAAGATGCCAGCTTGAAGTATCGATCCAAAGTTTGCCTCCATGCACGTTCACTCACACACTCGAGGGACCTTCAGTAGACTTGCTCCATAGATCACTGTGTGCGAGGAACAGTCCGATCAATACAGTCCACACTGTGGCGCTCTCGCTCTCTGAATCTATCAATGTTATAGGCTCAAACAAGTCACACAGAAGTGCTTAGCAAACAAAACAGCATGACAGACAAAGTAAATATCAGTGGGGGCTTGATTATTAGCAATTTTGTAATGTGAGATTTTTCACAACATGATTAGCCACAAGAATGTCTTATAGAGATATGCTGATTGAAGAAATGACAAGTGAATCACATTACAAATAATATATATAAGAAGGCGGCATGTTGGCTCAGTTGTTAGTACTTTCACCTCATGCTGCAGCAAGAAGGTTGCTGGTTCGAGTCCTGGCTGGGTCAGTTGGCATTTCTGTGTGAAGTTTGCATGCCCTCCCCATGTTCGCATGGCTTTCCCCCACAGTCCAAAGACATACTGTATAGGCAGTGCTTAATTTGTAAATGAATAATTCTTGGAACGAAACCATTAAATAAATGTTTCCAACGTTCACTAAACAATTTCAATTTTCCCAGAACATGACGTCATTAAGCGGTTAAAGAGCATCACATTTCTGAATGGTCTTTAAATATTTTGTGCTATATATTGTTTTATATATTGTTATATATCAGTTCACTATTATGTGCCAAGTAAAAAAAATGAAATGACTCACTCAATCTAATCTTCAAGAAGAGCCCACAGTTAACTCTTCTGTCATGTTTTGTGGCTGACTTGAAATCGCTTTGCTTCTGTTCCCTGTAATCCTGATCCATTCACGCAGTTTTATCTTGTTACTATTTCTTTTAATCAGGCTCATTATCAGATTTACTCATGGTTTTAACCCCTTGTCTAAAGCCTGGTTTAAACTCGATGCCCGGTGAGTGATCGCGGCGAATGTAACATCATCGCAAAGTTTGCCGATGTTGGGGCACCGTGTTTGATTTGAGTTAAATATGAACCACTTTGAAGAGATTTTGTCTGAAACAGTACAACTGTACAGACAACTTTATGATACGTCGTCATAGAGATTACCTGATCATTCTTGGCTATAAATTGCAAGAGGCTGGGGGAAAGGAGAAAGTTTTTGTTAAAAGGTTTGAAAAAACTTGAAGGATAAGTTTGTTAAAACCAAAATAGGTCATGGCAAAAGTGGAGACCTGGGTACACAATTACAGAATTTGTTTTTCCCCCATTCATAGGTTTTACACTGATGTATATATATTGCAATTTTAAATTTAAAACAATTTAATTGTTACAAAACTATAATGAAGTCACAGAATTATTTCTTTGATAACTGGGAAGGAATATTTGATCCTGTCGGTTTGCAATATACTGATACCCTGTTTTTTTTTTAGGCTTTAGTGGTGATAATGGTCAGGAATGTTGGACCATTATTGCCTTGTTAGCATAAGTATAGGACAGAAACTAGCCAGACAGTAATGTGTGAACTGTGGAGCAGGCTAAATCTAAAAAAAAACATCTGTATTTTTTTAGTAAGTGTACTTTTATTTGCCATAATATAATATATTTGCAGAGCAACTCATGTTCTGTTGTCATTAATATTTAAAAAAAAACTTTAAAAGGTTAAACTGTCCTGGATATGAACAAAAGCAAGTGATGCATCAAAGTTTGATTAAAAAAATCTTGAATGGTTCTAAAAATCCTCATAATCATTAAAATAATTTATAAAAACAATAAAAATAATTAGTTTAAATATACTGAATGATATTAATGATATGACGTAGTTCCGAAAACTTCCTACTTCTCTGTTTATTCGTCTGATTTTACGGTGGGGTTTGTTTTGACTGCCCCCCTGTCGTTTTAAAGAATATCATAATGGCGAACGCGGCAAGTATAAAAGCCTTGTCTATTTCGCGAGGTGCGCACGCAGTCAGTAGAGGTGTGCGATGCAGCGCTAGGCTAAAGTATAAATCCAGCTTCATAGGAAGGAAAATTGAATGAATGAATGAATGAATGAGACTCAAACCATTTTTAGCACAGAATCAAAGTAAGGAAATTTATAAGAATAATAAAAGAATAATTGCTCAAAGCCTGTGTAAACTAGAAGTTGCTGAGACTTTTATTTCAGCATGGTTATTTACTTCCAACTGAAATTAAATGTTGAGTAGGGGGCGGGGCTTTCTTTTTGTGTCCTTTCCTAAGGGTTTTTAAATAACCTGCTTATTTTGGATACTTGTACACTGTAACTACAGTAATCAACAACATATTTAGTTTTTTAGGCATCACCATTATAGTCAGTATACTGGTATGTCACAACACCACTAACTTCACCACAACAGTTGAATACCAATAACAAATCAATGTAAGTTTGAAGCCTGGTCTGGTAGATAAATAGGTTGTAACCGTTTTTAGCTTCAGTGTTTTGGATTAATAGCACAGAAGCCTGATGCATTACCCAATAATATTTAGAAGAAAGATTATGTGTCACATCTGTGATTTGATTGAGTGTAAATGTTTCCACATTTCTCTGTGCAGATCCATTGATCAGAACAGAGCCCATGCTGCGACTGAATGAGGGACATATCTTAATAATCCACATGCTATATCCTCATAACAGGCTAAATATGATTTTAACGGCATTTAAATGGATTGATGATCTCAAAGTTCTACATTATTACCCTCAGCCATACTGTTACAGCATAAATTATGATTGAGCGTTGAGCTCTGTGGTCGCTTCTTGCAGATGCTTATGGATTTTTATCTGGAGTAATCTGATGAACAAATGCTTTTGGCCTTCAGGTACTCCAAACTGTCAGATCCAGCCAACTGGCTGAAAATCAACAGGACCAATGGAAGGATCACCACCACCGCGGTGCTGGACCGTGAGTCACCGTATATGAAGAAGAACGTATACGAAGCAACCTTTCTGGCCGTGGACAATGGTAAGAAAGTTGGAAAGTTTGAACTGCATGAAAACTTTGAGTGAGTGTCGATGCATTAAAGCTGCTGTGTATGAAAATATGGATTTGAATGATTGGCTAGGTCAGTTTGGAGAGAAGTTGGTTAGCTTGAACTTTTGTCCCACGGAGCAAAAAAAGCTGTTCACAGCTTATCGATTCATAAGCTATCAGCACTGGGCCATTTTTCTACTCTGATTGGATTTCATTCTCATGCTCTATTCAACCAAGAAGGAGTTCCAACAAAGCTGCGGTCCAATCACAGTTGATTTGCTTGTCCTCCACTTTTTTTACACTAACTTTTTAAAAAGGAGAAACTGTATAGCTTAACACAGTTGACGTTCATATCAGAAATCCTAAAGTGTATTATGTGAACGTTCGAGGTTACTAAAGTAACCCTTCGTTCCCCGAGGAGGGGAACGGAAGCACTATAAGTGGATTTGATTGTAAAATCCACGCATTGGGAGGTTCGGTTCAGAAGCTACTCGTCTGAAAGAGTATTGAACGGGCCAATTAAGAATGAATTGGCAGCGCAAGCCTGCGCAGGTGAGCGGCATAAGCAATCAACTGAGTATATAAGCTCACCTGGCGCAGCAGACGCTATCCTTTTTAAGCTGAAGAGACTTTCAACAGCTAAGGGACAGTCATTATGGCGACGGAGTATAGTGCTTCCGTTCCCCTCCTCGGGGAACGAAGGGTTACTTTAGTAACCTCGAACGTTCCCCTTCGGGGGGAACTTCAGCACTATAAGTGGATTTGATTGTAAAATCCACGCATTGGGAGCCCATTGAAAGCGCCATAATGACTGCACCTTACCAACACCCCCGATGAGGAGATAGTCAAGCAAGCGTGACGCACCCACATCATGGGGGGCGCGGTCCTCCAACGTGTCCCTGGCCCTAATTTATCCTACTTCAACAGAAGTTTTACGGATTTAATATATATTTTTTGGGAAGTCGTGAGCATCTAGATAATTCTAGGAAAATACGACAGTACGTTGGGAAGCGTGCAATCCCGATAGGGAGGACGCTGCGGAGGCCATCCGTTACCCAAGGGGGGATAGATGGCAGAATTTACATATGGACTAGCCCTAAAAAGGGGGAGTACGCATAGCAAAAGAGTGGTTAGCGGGGAGGGAAGACACGGGTCCGCCCAGGGGGGGGGGACTTAACCGTGGCTGAATAAGCATATGGGATCGCCTAGTGGGGACCACGCATAGCAGGCACCTTTACCCAAAACGCGGGCTGACCAGCGGGCAGACCTACAACGTAGTGGGCCAGCAAGTGACTCCTCCGCTGAGTCAGTGCTGGGGGCCACGGAGGAATCTGCAGGGCTCACCTGACGGGGAACTTTACTGACAGATAAAAAGGCGCACGTATCTCCGTGTTAGGGAAAATGGCGCAGCAAGCGTGTTTCAACACCCTACCGAATTGTTTCCTCAATCACCAAGGGTTACCTAATACCCTTGAGGAAACCGGCTCCACTCGCAGATTGTAAAACCTTGCAAATGTGTTGGGTGTCACCCAGCCCGCAGCTCTACAGATGTCTGTTAGAGGGGCGCCGCGTGCGCGCGCTCGAGAGGATGCGAAGCTCCGAGTGGAGTGCGCACGCGCTCTCGGGGGACGCGGCTCATCTCGGCTCTGATAGTGAAAGAAAGGCATCCACAATCTAGTGGGAACTTATTTCGGTACGGCACTTCCCTGCTGCCGACCGCTATAACAGACGAAGAGCTGCTCAGATGATCTAAACTCTGAGTGCGGTCCGGATAATACGCAAAACGCGAACTGGACAATAAATAAGGGCTGGGTCTGCCTCCTCCGAGGGCAGCGCTTGCAGGCTCACTACCTCGTATTAAAACGGAGTGGTAGGAACCTTGGGCACATATCGCGGGCGGGGTCTCATACGTGAGAGAAGCCAGCCCAATTACAGGCACGAGTCACTGACCGAAAAATGCCTCCGGGTCCCCGACCCTCTAATCGATATCAACGCGACCAGCAGAGCTGTCTTCAGGGACAGAAAATACTGAGTCGAGGATCGAAGGGATCTGACGCGGCTTGTGTAGCGAGGGCGAGATCCTAAGAGGGCATGAGAGGGGGCGGGGTGGATTAATTCGCTTAACGCCCCTGAGGAACCGGATGATGAGGTTATGCGTTCCCACGGTGCTGCCAGCCACCGCGTTATGAGAGCGGAGATGGCAGCCACGTAACCTTGAGTGTGGAGGGCGACAGCCTGCTCTCCAACTTCTCTCGGCGTAAAGAAAGCACAACGCTGATCTGGCAAATTACGGGGGTCTTCTCAGCGAGAGACACACCATTCAGTGAATAGACTCCACGTCAGGGCATAGGCGCGCTCGGGGAGGGGGCTCTAGCCCGAGTGACGGTATTAGCCACCGCAATCGGAGGTTACCTAAGTCTTCCTCGCGTCTAAAAATCTCTTCAAAGATCGGCGAGGGTGCCAGGTGGTGCCCTGTCCCTGAGAGAGTAGGTGCTCTCTCGAAGGGACTGCCAGGGGAGGGCTATCGCGAGGGAGAGCTCTGACATCCAGGTCCGGTTGAGCCAGAGGGGCGCAACCAGCAACCTGTTCCTCGTCCTCCCTGACCTTGCACAGTAACTGCGCGAGCAGGCTCACTGGGGGAAACGCGTATTGCGCGTGCCCCGAGGCCAGCTGTAAGCCAGTGCATCCGTGCCGAGAGCACTCGGTCAGGGAAAGAACAACTGGCAATGAGCGATCTCGGGGGAAGCAACAGATCGATCTGGGCTTCCCCGAATCGCGCCCATATCAGCTGAACAGACTCGGGGTGGAGTCTCCATTCTCCAGGACGCAAGGCTGCCGTGAGAGCGCATCGGCTGCACGGTTGAGCTTGCCTGAATATGAATGGCGTGCAGCGATTTCAGCCGCGGATGACTCCAGAGGAGCAGACGGCGGGCGAGCTGAGACATGCGGCGAGAGCGCATACCCCCTATACGGCTGATATACGCCACCGCCGCCGTACTGTCCGTCCTGACCAGCACGTGTTGCCGCTCCAACACCGGAAAAAAACGGTGGAGAGCGGGGAACACTGCCAACAGCTCCAGGCGATATGCCAATGCAACTGGGTACCTTTCCACAGGTCCGCAGCCGCATGCCCGCAACGCACAGCCCCCCAGCCCGTGTTGGAAGCGTCTGCTGAAACGACAACAAGACTGGACGCCTGTTCTAGAGACACCCAGGCCTGTAGGAACGAGGGGTCGCTCCAAGGGCTGAGGGCGCGGCGACACAGCGCAGTAACAGAGACTCGGTGTGCGCGCGCGTGCCATGCGCGTCTGGGGACTCGATCGTGAAGCCAGTGCTGAAGTGGTCTCATATAGAATAATCCGAGCGGCATGAAGCGGCTGCGGATGCCATATGCCCCAGGAGCCTCTGAAATTGTTTCAGTGGGACCACTATTTTACTGTCGAGCTCTCTCAGACAGTACAGCATCAGCTGAGCGCGCTCTCCGGAGAGGCGCGCTGCCATGGTGACCGAGTCCAGCTCCAGCCCGAGAGAAGAGATCCTCTGCACGGGGGCGAGTTTGCTCTTTTCTCGGTTGACCTGAAACCCCCACAGGTGGAAGTGCCAGAGCACTTTGTCTCTGTGCATAATCAACTCTGTGCATAATCAAAAGAGAGGGCAATTCAGCCAGTCGTAAAGAAATTGAGTATGCAGATGCCCGCGAGCCGAAGGGGCGCTGAGGCACCCTCCGCGGGCTTGGTGAGGACCCGCGGAGACAGAGAGAGCCCGAAGGGGAGGGCTTTGTATTGCCAAGCTCGACCTTCAAACGCAAACCGCAGAAACTGTCGGTGGCGAGGAAGAGTGGAGACATGGAAATACGCGTCCATCAGGTCTAATGCTGCAGACCAACCCAGAGGACGAACGCACCGGAGGATGCGCTTCTGCGTGAGCATTCTGAACGGCAGCTTGTGCAGGCAGCGGTTCAAAACGCGCAGATCTAGGATTGGCCGTGACCCACCGCTCTTTTTGGGCACGATGAAGCGTGGGCTGTAAAACCCACTCTCCATCTCGGCTGGAGGGAGCGGCTCGATTGCATCCTTCGCCAGGAGGACAGCAATCTCCTCTCGCAAGACAGGGGCGGACAGGGGGCTGACCCTGGTGAATACACACCCGTGACTTGGGGGGGCCGTTTCGCGAACTGAATCGCATAGCCGAGTCTGATTGTGCGTATGAGCCACCGCGAAGAGCTGGCCCGCGCTAACCAGGCAGGCAGAGCTCTCGCTAATGGACTCATCGCTACAATCGCTGACGTACCAGCAGTGGGGCAGCGCGGAGTGGGTGTGCTGATCCGGGAAGCTCGCGGGTCCCACGGAAAAGCTGGAGGTGAGATATTTGCTCTCACTCCAAACCCGAGCTCCGGAGGGGAGGCTCGAGGGGTGGGAGAAAGGAGACCGTCCTCCCAGCGCTCGTGAGCCACTGGCGAAACGCACCGAATCTGCAAGCTAGAAAGCATAGCGTCCCAGACTGGTAGATTTCGGGCTGTCACATCTGGGGAAGTGAAAAGTGCCCTTTCATAATGTTTTCATGGCAGTAAAAAGTGCCGTTGGAAATGGGGCCCCGCCCTCCAGCGGGGAAAGAGCAAGTTCCCTCTTCTCCAGATGGCCTGTCCCAGGGGCGCTTCGCGGTCCGTTGCCGGACTTAGCGGCGTTCTGGGCAGGGGGGCTGCCTGCTTCCGAGGTGCCCGACGCGCTCGCTTCGCCTTAGGCGTGTGCGGGGGCGGAGCAGCTCTCGTAGGCGGGCGCCTTCGGCGAGGAGCAGGTATGAATGGCACGGCGGGCGGAGCGGGCTACGGACCGCCGATAAGACATCACCCACCAACTGCTCTCTCACCGCCTTGAATTCCTGGGTGAATTCACAGACAGTGTCGCCGAACCTGGCTGGGGATATGGGGAAGTCAAGAAAGCGGACTTTGTCGACTTTGCGCATATCAGCCAGGGGTGGCGCTCCTGGACCAC